TGAACCTCCTACGTTCCAGTGAAAAAAGTCCCATCCTATCCTACTTGCTGCATTTGTATGCAGACCTTTATGATTGAAGAACCGCAGCATCTTCAGTCTCTCTCCGTCTAAATAATATTCTGCTCTTACACTCTTCCTTCTGACACAGGAAACATCACAATTTTCCACATTATACTTTATCTGATACATTTTTACCTATTTACTTGAACTGTCTGTATCCTCTTGCAGACCCTTTGTGTCCTTCTCATAATTTGCTTTCTGCCCTATCTTTATATCATCAGGAAATTTATGGAGACCATGTCATAGTGATAATTTCAGTGGATTAGTAATCCAGAAGCACAGGCTAATGCTATGAATAAATCTGGAAAATAAAGCTAGACTCTGAAATGATAATCATAGCATAAAAATTCATCTGGTTCACTCACATTCTTTCAGGGACAGAAACTGGTTGTCCTCACCTGATCCGGCTTAATGTGACTTCAGCCTCTCGGCAATTTGGTTGGGTTTTGCATGCCTTTTCAAATGGTCCTAGCAATCTGCTCATGCCATGAAAGAATAAAGAAAAGAAATGGCTACAATACAGTCAGTTTCTTAATCTAGGTAATTGATATGGACTGTAAACAGTTGAAAGCCCAACACAGGGTTGGTTTAGCGCAGTTGACTTGATGGCTGGTTTGCTATGGAGAGTTATGCCAACAGCATGAGTTCAATTCCCACACTTCCTGAGGTTATCATGAAGGACTGTCCTTCTCAACCTCTCCCCACACCTGAGGCATGGTGATTCTTTGATTGAAACCACCACCAGTTGTCTCCCTATAAAGGGCAGAGCAGCTCTATGGTCTAGTAAGTCTGTGGCAATTTTACCTTTTATTCTCCCACTAGTTACAGATTGCCAATCTGAAAAAGGACCATTTATCCCCAATGTGTTTCTCCTAATTAGCCAGTCCTCTATCCATGCTGTATATCACCTTCAATGCCATTAACTTCTCAAATACATTTACTGGCTCCCCTTTATTCACCCTGTTTGTTACACACAAAGTACTCTAAACCATCCAAAAACTTTCCCTTTCACAAAATCATATTGACTCTGCCTGACTATATTTTGATTTTCCTATATGTCCTGTGTTACCTCTTTAGTAATGGATTCTACCATTTTCACAATGACAGATGATGGACCAACTACAGTTTCCTGCTTTCTATTTTCCCCTTAAACAGCATAATTTGCTTTTTCTGTTTCCAACATGCGGGGACCTTTTGCAGAATGTAGAGAATTTTGGAAGGTTACAGTCAATGCATCCATTATCTCTTTAACCTGTTACTTTAATATTCTAGGATGCAGGCTTTCAAGTCCAGAGGACTTGTTAACCTTAAGTCCCATTATAATTACTATTACTTTGTCGATAGTATATTGATTATTCCAAGAGCCTCCCTCAATTTTGCATCTTGATTTCAAGAATTCTTTCGATCATTTTGTAACTTTCACTATAAAGATAAATATAAACTACTTGTTCAAGACTTGTACTATTTCCTTTGTTTCCCATTATCAATTCGCCAGCCTCTCCCCTTTAGAACAAGAGCTTACTTTTACTAATAGTTATTGCTTTCCTTTTTGAATGGTTGTAGATGTTTTTACTGACCATGGCTTATGTTTCTTGTTAGTTTTCTCTCATACTTCAACTTCTTCCTCTATTAATTTTTGATCATCTTTTGCTGTTTCTAAAATATTTCCAAATCATTTGCCCCATCATGAAGTTTTTTAGAGCTGTGCGCCTTTTTCAGTTTTACACCTCCCATAACTTCCTTAGTTAACCATAGATTCTGAAGCCTTCCAGAATGCTTTTCTTCCTCAATAGAATATATCTTCACTGAGATTTCAGTGTCAGTCACTGCATCCCCACTGTCTTGGACCTTTTTAACCTATTTTCCCATTCCACTTCAGATCTTTATTGAAATTTAGTTATGAATACACATTTCTCACACATTAACTGAATGTAAATTTCTATCATGTTATATTTACTCCTGCCTAAATGATACTTTGCTATAAGACCCTTAATTAATGTTAATTCTTTACACGTTCTTAGATCCAAAATAGTCTGGCCCCTGGTAGGTTGCAGAACGTATTGTTTGAAAGAACAGTCTTGAAGATACTCTATGAACTCATCCTCTAGTCAGTCATTGTGGACTATTAAAGTCACCCACAAAGGCCCAGTTATTTCTTGATGTTAATCTTGTCCTATTGTGTAGCTAATATTATGGGGCATAAAAAATATTACTGTCACCAATGTCTTCTTTACTTTGCTGTTTGTATCTCTACCCAAACTTGTATTACACCTTGATCTTCTGAACAAAGATCATTCTTAGTAATGTCTCATCCTTTATTTACAGAACTACACCACTTCCTTTTTTCATTCTTTCTTCCTTGCACACAGTGATGTAGTCACAGGCCTAGGAATCCAGGAATGTCTTGGCACTAATAATCCAGAATTCTGGGTTAAGTTCTAGGGACGTGGATTTGAATATCATCATGACAAATAGTGAAATTTGAATTTAATAAAACAATCTGGAATTAACTGCTACTCTAAGGGTGACCATGTAGCACTGCCAGTTGCCATTTTAATAAAAGGCCCATCTGATTCACTTGGGTCTTCTAGAGAAGAAAATATGCCATCCATATCCAACCTGCTCTACACTTTTTTATTCACTTGTGGGACATTGGTATGCGAGTAGTCTTCTTGAACCGCAGCAGTCTGTGTGACTGCAGACCGGCACAATGTGGTTGACTCTTTACTGCCCTGAGTATTTAAGGATGGTGAATAAGTACTGGCCTAGCCAGAGATGCACAATGAACTTTTTTAAATATTAAATATTCATTAATATTCAAGTCCCCCATCTTGCCAACCACATCTTTGTAATGGCTATTTATATCATGCTCATTTATTTCTATTTGTGTTATGAATTCATTCATCATATTATGGAATGCTGCGAGCAATTAAGATACAGAGCCTTCAACTATGTCTTACTGATTCTGCTTCCTCTCCTTATTTGTTGGTGCACACTTTTGTTTCAATGCTCTGAACTTTCCTTTCAGACTCTAGTTATCGTTACCCTGCACTATTCCCTTGTCTTTTCCCTTTAACCTTCCAAATATCCCCTCACATAACCCTTGGTCACCACAATTTAATTGAAGGCATTCTCTGCCTGAGATAATTAATCTGTTTTTGTTGTTGGTGATTGAAGAATAACTGTAGGCGAGAATTTCAGAGAAGCTACCCTGCCTTATTTGTTTCAGTTCAAAGTTTCCACCTAAGGTGGGAATTTCTGACATTACAGCACACCACCTTCAGTACTGCACTGAAGTGTCAATCTAGGTAATGTGTATTCAAGTTCCTTGACCTGAACCCTTTACCTACAACCACCTGAGTCAGATAGAGGAGTGGTACGACTGAACTAAGTTGGTACTATACTGCTTCTTAAATGCAGGAAGTTTCATGATTTTTATTATTATTGCAGAACAAACTGGACTGCAGCCCAATGGTATCAATGTGGACTGCAGCCCAATGGTATCAATGTGGACTGCAGCTGCTTCAAAATCTCCCCTCCCCCTACCGCATCCCAAAACCAGCCCAGCTTGTCCCCGCCTCCCATCTATCCCCCATCTCCTACCGACTAACCTCATCCCGCTCCCTGGACTGACCTATCTCCTCCCTACCTCCCCACCTACACTCACCTTTACTGGCTCCATCCCTGCCTCTTTGACCTGTCCGTCTCCTCTCCACCTATCTTCTCTATCCATCTTCTATCCGCCTTCCCCTCCCCCATTTCTGAAGAAGGGTCTAGGCCCAAACATCAGACTTCCTGCTCCTCCGATGCTGCTTGGCCTGCTGTGTTCATCCAGCTCTACACCTTGTTATCTCTCGCATTTATGTTATGTCTTTCACCACCTCAGGGTTTGCTTTATGATCTCTATTATAATGTACTGTTGTACTGAATTGCTGTAAACTTCAAAATCCATAATAACTTGAATGGGTGATTGAACAAATACTTTTCAAGCTCTATTGTAGTGTGGTTGATAGGTATTATAGTTTTTGAACACGTTTGTATGTGCCCATGCCTAATTTCAAAATAAGTTGCTGTTGAATTCCAATTTTTTAAAATTCCTATTAATCTTTTTCTGCTTGTTAGTTTATACCTTTGTACTTTTCTAGTAATTAATTCAGTCCCTGTTTCCACTATTATGCAATAAAGCTTTCTTGACAGGAAACCAGTGTGAGCAGACATAAGTTTAACTTGGAAAGGGAAGATAAATACCCCATGAATTTTACTGAAGTATTCTTACTTGTCCAACGAAAAAAAAATTCAGAAATAGATATTATCCTGGCTGGTGATGTAGCTTAAGATGGAATAAATCAAAGAAAATAATTAGAGAAAATGAAAGTATACTGAAAGTTATTTTGAGTTTTTTTCCTTGCTGGAATGAGTTACTTTGTATTACATTTTTAGCTATTTTCCAGGGTGACATTTATAAAGAAAAGTTGCAGGAAACTATTGACTGATGCACATAATTCCAGCAAAAAAATTGCAAGTACCGAAATTAGGACTACTCACTGTGTTGGATTTTAGTGTATGTTTCAATACGATTCTGGGTATATTTGAACTACTGCATCTTTCACCTGTCACAGTTATTGAGTCCTATTACATGCTACAAATTTGATCTGAGTTATTTATGGTCAAGTGACTGAAGAAATATATTTTAACAAACAAACAGAATTGAGCTGGTCCTGACTGGTCTGTTGGGGCAGTCATAATTTTCTTGTGACTGGAATCTGAATTTCAGTTGTAGCGAAGCCTTGTGTGCATTGTCATTTTGCTGTGTCCTCTCATCATGCCATCTTTCTTATCACTACTGTGTGACAGCCATCAAACATGCAATTTTTTTGTATAACATATATGTTTGGGCTTTATTTACATTTTTTGCTTCTCATTTTTTTTTTTAAATTTAGAAACATGTCTTTCAGGTTTTCCAAAAGGTAGGATTTAAAATATCATTAGTTTGATCTGCAATATTACCAGAAACCTGGTTTCACAACCTTGATAACTCACTGACTTCCTGCTTATATGAGAAGGTTACCTATGGCTTATTTGAGAGATTATATACTATTAAACCATTAATGATGTTGGGAAGTGCTCTAATCTGGTTGTTTTAAACATATCTACAGCTGAGCATGCTAACCACTTGCTGTCATATCAGATTCATTATAATTAACCAAAGATTTGATGGGATCATTTCATTATTTTACTAATACACCCAACCATGCTTGGTGTATGTTAAAGTTTCCTTAGTTGGAAAAAAGCATGATATAAAATGACTATGAACTTTGAAAATAGCATTTATGTAAGCAGTGTTGGGCTGGGGAAACTGATTCCCTGGTTGCAGTTCTCTTGCAAGAAGTATGATTTAGGATTCAGATGGTGCAGAACAATTTGGATTTCTGTGGCAAATGGCATAATTATTTCTTTCAAATGTCTTTTTCAGAACAGAGCCGATTTGCCATATCTTATGGAAAAGATTTTTACATTAAATTAAGGAGCTTTTCCCTTCTATGAAGGCATTTCTTTGGGTAGGACTCCATGTAACTCACTTCCTTTCTACAGTGAGGGAAAGATGTACAATTTCCATGTGTTTCTCTGAAATATTTTATTATGTCCAATCATTATTTTCCTCCTTAAATTGAAATTTCAAGCAGGTTTTAGTAAAATTAGAAGATGTTACCTTGAAAGCCTGCAGTATCCCAGCTCAGGGCTAACATCATGCCCTATTAAAATTGTGCTTTTCAAAACTGTCCTTATTACAGAAATTTCAAACTTTCTGTATTTTGTATGGAGAAGAAACATTTTTTAAAAATAGTTATTAATACATATCCTTTTTCTTAAGAACCACCTTTGGCTGCCTTTCCCCAGGTATCATTGTCCTGATTGTGTCAGAAGGATGATATGCTTTAACAATGGGCTATATTTAATGGATTCATATAAGTGGTTAAAGGATTTTGCAAAAGGGACTGTTTCTGCATTGCAGCTGGTTATAGAATGTGAAACATCAAGCAATTGAATTGATACTTTATAAAAGATCAGCATTTTATGAAAAATACTCTAGTCTCTTTCAATCTTCACTGGTTTAAGTATCATGTAGCATATTAGTCTCTTGATACTATAAGAATTATATAGCCTAAAAAACTGTAGTACATCACTGATAACCTTTGTGAAGTAGGTCATGCTTTACAATTGTATTGGAATTTTTTGAAGGATTAATTGACTTGATACACAAGGTAATTTCATTGGATATGAATCGCTTGGATTTTCAGACATTTGTTTCCTAAATGTGAAATTTACATGAAAGATAAGGCTCAATTGTCTAGTTAGAGTGCAACATGGAATAACAATAGAAAGTACAAAAATAACCAAAGGCCCTGGGTTAGATCTCAGATGCTTGATTTTCATTTGCCTGTGGGTATATTTTGGAAGTAGTTCATTCAGATGGTGTTTCAGTCATCCCACACCTCTAGAATATCCTGCTATTTTCAAAGAAAGCGTAGGAATAAGGAGGAACTGGCAACTGTTCACCTGCTGCAATCAGGGTCCAGAGTTCCATTGCCTCAGAGTCTGAAGATTGGGCCATGGTCAGTCTTGCAAGTCAAGTCCAGTCAGTCTGGGGATTACCAGTAAGGAACTGAATAGATATCAGTCAGGGCTGGGTCATCCACAGTCAGGGCTGTCCTCCCAAGTACTGGGGGTTGGCCATGATTAGTCCAGGGATTTGCCTAGTAAAAGTCAAGGGAAGTTATCAGTGGGTAGTGCATGCTATACTGGGGACTCGGGTGCAGATTAGAGCCAGTAGACTAGGATACAGAGGAGCAATTAATGTTCAGGGGAGGGCAACCCCAGATGGATGGAAGCCAGTATAGTATGGTAGGTAACAGAACAATGTGGGAGTGGGGGATCTTTGAAAGTTACCACCATCCTGGCCTTGATAGAGGCCAGTGGATAACAATGCATATCTTGGGGATATGCTTAGGACTCAGAAAGGAGGGGATGGAAATTGAGGAATATTAAGTTGTGTTTTTTTTTTTTTTTTTTTTTTTTTTAAAAAGGCTAGAATGTTGGAGTTGACAAGGATTGCTATCCAGATTGGAACATGAAGGTTAGCGTCAGGGAGCATCGAGAATAACATCAGATTGTACAACATGTTTTCAGGAGCCTGACCTCGTCCATCATTTATCATATTTCAACTGTGAAATAATGATGAAAAATGGCTGCCAATACACCCAGAGTGGGCAGAGTAAGTTTGTTTTGTGGGGCAGGATTCACTTGAGTTATATGAGGGGCCTTAATCAATAATAGATTTGAGATTAAATGCACCTGTCATAACATTAATCTGCACATGGAGCTCATTCATTGACCAGCGATCTATACTGCATATCCTGGTCACCAGCAGTCCTGATCATGTTATTGATCATTACAAATTAATTGTAGTAAACTCTGACGCAAAAGCGATAACAACTGACCTTTTAAAGTGTCGACTGCAGTTGATAATTCCCAAACTTGTTCCAAAAGCATTATAGTCTGTGCAAGGGCATAGAGATGCTTAGCTCTCAAATTAAACTGTAGGTATGTGAGTACATGGACGTTTGTAAGAAATAAGGTCCAAAATGTCAGACATCCACGTAGTGGCATCCCATGACTGTCCTTGTCAGAGGCTTTCATGTCTCATTCTTCCAAGGCCTGTGGTAAAGTCTCATTTATGTCTTCTGTGACTGCTGACAAGTCAAACCATGGAGAAGCTGTTTGCTTCTGATATTCCCCACATAGGTCCTATCAGAAATAGATCCAGCAGCCACAGCTGTTATCATTCCTGTTGCAACAATACAGGGATGATGTAGAGAAACTGAGGAAATACAAAGGCATGAGCAAGCCCAGCACTAGCCTCCACTTCTGCATGGAGAAATCACAGTTGAACGTTCCCCGACAATGCGGACGGGATCAGGATGCCCTAACTCTATTACCCTCAAAGACATTTCTTCCAGATGAGCAAGGTGTAGGGTTGCCATTGAATGAGCATGTCCCAGGAAAGTGTAACAGAACTCTGTCATCTGCTGAAGCAGGACTTGTAATATGAAAGTGGGGAGGGTGGTGACTGAAGGTTGTCAAGGTAATGGTGGTTGTTCTTTTTGTGACTGGCTGCTTCCAGGGGTCCACAGGGAAAATGTGTGCAATCTCCCAATCCTCAACCCACAGAAGTATTAAGGCTGGTACTGAGGCATTTTGTGTAAGATCACACCCCTTCTTTTCATTTTCCTGTAATGAGGTCAGTGTTAGAACCCAAGAGGTAGGCCTTGTCAACATTGCTGACTCTCCCCAGACTCAGTGCTATAGACTGTACACACATCATGTTGAGAATGTCATGTCATAATGCAACTGTATTCGTTAATGTGTCAATGTCCAAGTCACCTTTGATCATCGTTACCGCATCCTAAAGTTCTTAGCCAGGTACCCGAGAATCTGCCAAGATACCCATGTTAGCTGTCTGGTTCCAGCTCAGTTCAAAGAACTGAATACCAATCGAGGATAGCTGCTCGAAGGTAAGACCTACCCTTTGTGCTGATGACTCCATTACACACTCCCCTGACTGAAGGTATGTAGATACACTGTAATTTCTTCCTGCCATGTCCATTTTGGAACAGATGATAGGCGTCCTCAAGATGAGATTCAGATTCTTCTGAGGACACAGGTGGCACCTGTAACTTGATTGTAACTAAAATATAACATCCATAAATAATATTTGCACTATAAATCATCACCTGTCTGATCAGTTGTCATTTTAGTTCTTAGATAAAGAATCAAGTGACAGGAGATACTCTTCCTTAGTTCCCTCCAATCTTAGAACCCTGATGGAATGCTGTTTTTTCCCTGTCACCCATCAGAATGTAATGTGCTGTTATAGTCAGAGATCTAAAGCACAGAAAAGGGACCTTTGACCCAAAAAGTCTGCAACAGTCAAAAACAGCTACCTAATTGTTCTACTCCTGTTTTCTAGCACTTGGCTCATAGCCTTGTATGCCTTGACATTGCAAGTGTACATCTAAAATACTTCCAAAATGTTATGAAAGTTCTGTCTCTACACCAATACAGATAGAGTTCGAGATTCCCACCACACTTGGTGAAAATATTTTCCATATATCCCCTCTAAACCTCCTACCCCTTGCCTTGCATCTATGCCCCTGATCATTGGTTCCTTCACCAAGGGGAAAGTTTTCTTCCTGTCTATCCTGTCAATGCCCCTCATAATTTTATACATCTCAATCATGGGCATGCACACAGGTCCTTGTGATCCTCAGTGGTTCCATGGGTCCTGCTGTTAATTGTGTATTCCCTTGCCTTGTTTGTCCTGCCCAAGTGCATTACCTCACACTATGCATTTTTCAAATCCACTTGCCGTTATCAATTCATATGACCAACCCATCTATATTCATCTGTAATCTAAGGCTGTCTTCCCTGCTATTTACCACCCCATCAATTTTCATATTATCTGTGTATTTACTGACCAACCCTCCTACATTCCAGCCTAAGTCATTTATAAACAGCACAAAGAGCTGATCCCTGCAGAACCCCACTGGACATAGGCTTTGAATCACAAAAACACACCTCAAGCATCATTCTCTGTTTCCTGCCACTCAGCCAATTCTGGATCCAATTAGCCAAATTTCCTTGGATCCCATGGGCTTTTAGCTTCACTATCAGTCTTCCGTGCAGGAACATATTCAAAATTCAATCAAATTTGTCAGACATAACCTCCCCTTAACAAAACCATGTTCTTAATTAACTCATGCCTCCAAGTGTAGATTAATTCTGTCCCTCAGAATTGCTTCCCGTAGTTTCCCACCACTGAGGTTAGATTGACTAGCCTGTTGTTTCCTGGTTTATCCCTTGCTCCCTTTTTTGAATAATGGTACCATATTGGCTGTTCTCTAGTCTT